TAATGCACTATACATGTGCATGTATTTGTGTGTATTTTATTCAGTTATGAAACTCCCCCACATGCAATACTGACTTAATAAGGTGGAAGAATGTACAATGTACATTTCATTACAATGTGTTGGGCTTGGTTGGTGTTTCCCCATTAAGTGATTTACTGGTTTAAAGGTTCAATAGAAGAGTATCAAAAAGGATAGATATGCTTAATAATACCAAGGCAATAATAAAATCTGTAAAGGGGGCTTTTTTCATTTTTCTTTTTTTAAGCTCCAAATACAAAATTAAGTACACCCAAAATTTGAGAAACAAAACAAACACAAGTTAGCAAAATCAGAATGCCCTTTTGCAGAATAAAAATATAACACAAACTTCATTAAAAATTGAAGTTATTGAGTGAAATAGTTTAATAGCAACAACAATAACTAATTTAAAGAGAAGGTTATTGCCATTTTATCATTAATATTTATAATGGTCACTTTTTAATATTCATTTTAGCATGAAATCTCTTTCATTAGATATAGTAGGACCAGTTCATAATATTCAATCATCAGTACATAATTGTTCTACTGTCAGTATCACTTGGAATAGTCAATATGGGATCACCAATAGGCCGACCATTTTTTACCACCTGAAAATATATGATGATGTCACTGGTTCTCTAATAGATAATGTATTAGTATATGATACTAGTTATCAGTTTGAGGATAATGACTTATTCACTCATCGCTATACTTATGTTATAAATGAAGCTAATGAATTTGAAGAAGGAATATCTAATAACAATACATTCTCATATCAAAGAGGTACACATTAATATTCTTATTGCTGATAATTATTATTTTTTAATAGTTCCTACATCAGCTGTAAACACATCAATTGATGTACTTTCTTATACACAAGAAATGATTATTGTCCAGTTCCGAATCCCAGTTATGCTATAAATGTATGCTTTATTACTATTATCTTTATTATCAACGTATAGATTGTACTGGAATGCGTTCGTGAAGTTCTTGAACATGTTACTGTGTCTGTGATATGTAGTGGAACTGATGTCTATAGCAATGTCACATACTTCATAAAGGATATGAATAATATAAGAGGATTGGTATTGGTACCTCAGTATCAACAGTGTAACATCAGTATTGCCTTTACTAATGATGTTGGTAGTAGTCAACCATTTATAGTACCACTTGGTGAGTCAATATACATTATGTTAATTTTATCAAGAGTAGTGGTTTTATGCATTTAAGCCATTGTGTACATCAATAGATACTATTATTATGTATGCTACCACTACTAATACTGTCCCTACTACTTCATCATTCCCTACTGCTACACCATCATCTGCTATGAACAGCAATAGTCTTACTGTTGCAAGTGCAGGTTAGTTATATTGATTTACTTCATTACCTCTTTATGATAATCCAGTGACCATGTCATTATTGAGTGCTGTCATAATATCACTAATAATATGTCTTACTATATCAGTCATTTTTATTATCTACAAGAAGAAAGCATACAGTAAGTTTTCTATGTATATTTTCAGTAATGTTATTTGATTTCATTGCAGGGACTGCTTCTTCACAGCATCATGGGATAGCTACTGCAAGCAATGAAGCATATCAGTTTCATAGTTTAATGACAAATAATAATCCAGCTTATGGTAGAATAAGAGGAAGTGCAGGAGTTGTTGACAGTTCAGTTATTTATGACAATCTCCTTGAAGAAAGATAAAATGTGACATGAATCATGCATCACAACAATAATTAAGAATTTATCATGAGAATCATTATTTTTTTGAAAGTGGTTATTATTATTATTTATCGTTTCTTTTGAGTGACATATAAAATAAGAATTGCTTGAGACTACTCGACTATATTTTAAATAAATGTCTTTGAATAGTGAAGTGAATTCTGTCCATTAGAGTAAAGGTAGTCAGCCATTTCTCCAGTCACAGCAGCTCCACTCACTCCATCTTTACATTTATATGTATGTACATTAAAGGGGAGAGAGGGAGAGAGAATGGGGTGTCGGTCTTTCTGGTCAGTAATTTGATGTATCATTTATTGTGTAGGAGAATGTCACCAGTATTTTACAGATGATGAAGAGAGCATGACAATGTCCAATTAGAACAAGTAAGTGTTTAAAGATCGACATCACTATGTATAATTAATCATCTCTTTCTGTCTCTCTTAGTACAACGAATTTATAATCAAGAAAGACTGCATGCATTCAATACGGATCAAAACGAAGACAAGGGATTACTAATGCTGTGTTGCATTGGCTGAAGCAATGATGATGGTAAGTGGTGTTTAATGTACATGTTAATATAAACTACTGCATGTGTAACTTTAATGGTAATTGTCACATGCCTTAAATGTTCGTATTATAATGGGAATCAGCTCAAGCTTTGTATGTAAAACAAGAACATGCATGTATACATGCACGTATCATAAAAAATATAGAAAACAAAAGTTTTCTCTAAGCATAATACACCCTGTAATTATAGTGCAGGATGTTTGTCTATACCTGTACATATCCCTTGGCAACATTTTATTTCTTTTGTTAATTTCCTTAGAACCTCATTTATGTTTTTGTGTACATGTATGCTCTTCATTTGCTACTCTCTTCCACACCTCTTAACATTCACTAAATACAATCTTTGCACCCATACCCTCTCCTAATCTCTCACTCTATCCCCCACTGTTCCTCCTTCTTCAATTTCCCTGAATATTGTCTATTCTCATACACTCTCCTCTCTTCTTCCCTATCATTCCTCTCTTTATGGCTTTACTATTCTACATCTCTTTTTTCTCTACATCTTTCTCATCTTTGCTCCTGTATGCCTCAAGATCGATCCTATGTGTATAATTTTTCCTCTTTATTTTCTTTTCTACATCTACATGTACATTCCTCTCCCCCATGACTCTCTCTTTTTCTCTCTCTCTCTCTCTCCCCCACTTTTAGTCTCTCTCTTTTGCTAAAAGTATCCCTCACTTTTAACTCCACCTGTGCCTTGTTTCGATTCATCTCTTTTGTCCTGTATGATGTCCATTCCATATTCCATCATTAAATTTCATTCCTTCTCTCTCCTTCTCACTTGGTTTGTCTATGTCTTTTAAGCTTTCTCTCCACTCTAATTTGCCTAATTTAATGTTATAGAAAACACTTCACTGTTAATCCACTCTTCTCTATTGTGTATGCACCAGTGATGTAGTTGATTACTTAATGCATTTGTATGCATTCAGTATAAATGTATGTCCCAGGCCTACGTGTAAATATATATGCCACTGAAGTAGTTATATCAACCATTACACACGGAATAGCATTACAGTTACTATTGTTGTTTAATATGACTTACCATTACAATTCACTGCTATGTACCTCTCTATCTCTTTAGTGTTTCTGTTTCTCTCAAGGTTAGGATTCACACTACTGACATCAAGTCTTTCATTCAGGTAAGGTCAATGATGTAATTTCCTCATTTTATGTTTCTCTGTGTATGATTAGAGTGAAATTTAAGGCAGACAAGTACACATGAATATATGTAGCATTTATGATTGCTGTGCTTTACTTTCATTGATTTTAATTCTTAGTAAAATTATTAAAAAATACTTTTACTAATGCAGCGCTTGACATACAGATACAGCATAATGCTAGGCCATTTAAAATGCTAGAAAAGTCAGAGGCAAGGTCCTTTCATTTGATCCAGGGATGAGAAAATTACCTATTGGCTCAATACAGAGGTTTTATGATGTTAAACTTTTCAAGTAATTTAGCAGTCTCATTCTGATAGTTGTCTGACATCAGTAGGTAGGCATGCACAATTACTTATTATAAAAAATTGAAGTACTAAATTTGGTTGAACAACTACAGAGATAGTGCTACAGCAAGGTTGAAAGGTTTGCTGCAACCAAGTTTCATACTTTGACTTTTTTGTCTTAGACTTTGTTTCAGGCATAATGTAGCCAGTTATTGATTTATAAGGCTTGAAAAGCAAATCAGCTACTTTGAGACAAATTTTTCTGGACCATTGCATTTAACTTTCGACCTTGCTGTTATGGTTGTTAAACTATTTCACTCAATAACCTCAATTTTTTATGAAGTTTTTGTTTTATTTTCATTCTGGAAATTAAGGGCATACTGATTTTGCTAACCTGTGTTTTTTCGTTTTTCAAATTTTGGGTATGCTTAATTTGTATTTGGAGCTTGAAGAAAAAGAAAATTTCATTTACTCTAATATCTATGGCAAAACGAAAATAAAATCAACGAAAATGTCTGCTTGGAAGGACAACAAAAGTTTCTGGCAACGAAAATTTCCTGGTATACGGTATTACTAAAATAGCATAGAATGTTACTAAAATACTAATAACAAAAACAATCATCAATCCATTTCAGTTCAAAACCTGGAAGTAAAAAGCCATAATAATACTATCTGCAAATGTGAAATGAAGATTTTTAGAGCAGATCATAATAGTTATTATTTAAACATAGTCATGGAAAACTGTTTATTTGCACTCTTATTTGTTTCATTAGATAAATTAGGAATAGTTCATAATATTCTATCATCAGTATACAATTGTTCTACTGTCAATATCACTTGGAATAGTCAATATGGATACACCAATAGGCCGACCGTTTTTACCACCTGAAAATATATGATGATGTCACTGGTTCTCTAATAGATAATGTATCAGTATATGATACTAGTTATCAGTTTGTGGATAATGACTTATTCACTCATCGCTATACTTATGTTATAAATGAAGTTAATGAATTTGAAGAAGGAATATCTAATAACAATACATTCTCATATCAAAGAGGTACACATTAATATACTTATTGCTGATAATAATTATCCTTTAATAGTTCCCACATCAGCTACAGTAAACACATCAATTGATGTACTTTCTTATACACAAGATATGATTATTGTCCA